ATGGGTAAGTGGAAGCCAGAGTGTGGGATGTGCTCTTTCTCTGCTCTCCTGGTTCAGTGCCAAAAAGCCCGGGGGTGTGGAGGGAGCAGCCAGTCCTATCTTCTTCAGGGGTATTAACTTCCTTCAAAGTGGCTTTAAACCAAAGAAACAAAATCCAAGCAGTTTTTATCAAATTCCCTCCAACGGTGCAATAGCTCTGACTCCCTTTGTCCCTGAAGCAGATTTATGCAGTCTTGGGGCATCTTCTGGGTGCTGTCTAATGTCCATGTGTTTTATTTCCCCAGGTCATCCAGGTCCCATGCCACCTCATGGGATGCGTGGGCCGCCTCCCTTGATGCCACCCCATGGATACAATGGCCCCCCTCGGCCCCCTCCCTACAGCTACCAGCGCATCCCTCTCCCACCTCGTCCTGCCCAAAGGCCCATGGTGCCTCCGCGGGGGCCCATGCGGGGGCCCCTCCCTCCCTAGGCCACAGTAAGTCACCACCCAGCCTGAAAAAGCACCCTTCTCCTCTGGGTCTCCCCTTTTCTGTTTCTTCTCGGACAAACATTCCAGCAAGCGGCATCTCTGTCCTCTTGAGTGAAAAACACGGCCCTCTGTTTGGCAGCATTGAGGGTTTGTTCATCCAGATCATTTTTATTAGCCGTGTTCCCTTGAAGAAGAGCGGGTTTTTCATTTTTCCCTTTTTTTAATGATCCTGTTTGTGAAATACAACTGATAAACTGCAGTTTTGAAATAAAAGATGAGGAAGGTCCTCTTTGGAAATATTCTGTAATGGCTTTCTCTAACTGGTCGTTCTGTCACCCTCCGGGTCCTCACAGAGTGGCGAGGGAATCGGCTTCCTCCAGCGGGGAGGCAGCAGTATTGGGGTGTGACAGGGAAAGTCACTAAACATCTTATGATATCTTAAACGAACACCCATTTATTAGGGCACGTCAACCTTTCCAAGTGTCAGACCACTCCTAGGTATCGGATTACTTTGCTACTATTAGCCTATTGAGTGTTGAACGTGGGAGAGGAGGGGTTGTTTGATGCCCAAATGCAAATGCCCTCCGGGGCAGTATCCACAAGAGATTTCCAAGGAGGAGGAGCTGAAAGTGTGATCTTCACAAGCTTTATTAAGGTAAATACATTACCTTTAGTAGTAACACAATGCTCCCTGTGACGGACGATAGGTACATATGCTGTGTTCTGCCATGGCGTGTCCATGCCAAGGGGCTGGTCTGTACAGCTTTTATAACCACGCACAAAATGAGATGTGTGAGAAACTGGCTTATCACTGATGCCCTTCCTGTCTGTACCTGGCATTACCTCAGTGTGCATTCCCAGATAACAGCCTGCCATGCTGTGCATCTTACTATATTTTATCCTAAGAGTTCACACAGTGGTTAAACACGGTGTTAGTTTGCTTCAGGGTGTGTAGGTTGTCCTCTTTATGGCTGCTGAGTTGGGGGAAGGGAACCCACGCAAAAAGAAATTTGTGTAACTGGATCTTGAAAGCTGTGTGCCATGGTTCACTGTGTAGAGTGGCGAGACAGGCAAACATCTCTGTTTTATTATCCTTGTTCCACTGCAAGGAAAAAGGAGCAGAACACTGAGAATGAAAA